GGTGTTCAGGGTCTCACTACTAGATCGGACTCGTAGTGATCAGCCTGTTTACAGCCTCCCAAGAGCTGGGATTACAGGCATGCGCCACCATGCCCAGTCTCAATTGCCATCTCAGCCCACCCTGGGGGTGGGGCCAGCACGGCAGGCCCAGGGATTGAACCCCTTCAACCCACTACTATTGTAAATTCAACATGTTCTATTGTATCTATGTGCTCTCTGAATTGAGATACATTCTTTATGGGCTTCCCTCGGTGGTTTGAATTTGACACTGTCTTACTTAGCTTATCTCTAACCCTTCAGCCTCGAGTACCTCAAAGCTGTTGTAGTGTGTGTGTGTGTGTGTGTGTCTTATTATTTTAGACAGGATCCCACAGTGTAGTTCAGGCTGGCCTTGAACTCACAGTAATCCTGCCTCATCCTTCCAAGTACTGGGATTACAGATATGTACCACCTCACCTGGCAGTTGTAAAATAATTTTAAATGTTACTTTACAGACCCTAAATAAAACCTCATCACTTGTGTATTAGCATCTACCCATGGGACTTCCTGGCCTCTTTCTTATTGGCTCTTACCTTCTCTTGCCAAAGCTTTCTACCATCTTTTGAGATCCAGCAACTGTTATAACCTTTCACATGTCTTACAGTTTTCCTAGGCTGTTAATCTTGCAGCCTCACATAGTACCTGCTTAATTTTATAGTAAAGAATACAACATTGAGTTGTAATGTCATAAAAAGATCATGCTTACAAACACCACACTTACTTAACCTCCTAGAGTCTCGGAAGTTTTGTCCCCATCATCTTTTTTAGTACCCAGTACTTTAGCTCACTCTTTCAAATGAGGGTCATGCATGTTCTTTACATTGGAGTCTATTCTTTCTTCTTCATCTCCCAGCAGCTTTCTAATGTTCCAATTTGTAACAATTTTTGTACTTGTAAGCCTTTTCTAGACCATAGACTCATCCTAAGTGCCTTTTCTTTAGTCCTCTCATCATCATGAAAACTTCATTTTCCAAAAATGTGCCCCAGTTCCATTTCTTACTACTTCCACCAGACCTCTCCCACATGTAATTGCACACTTGCTTGGACTCTATCAGTACTGGGTTACTTTGTTCTGACTTACTCAATGTAGATTGAAAGTTCACTTAAAGCAAGTTCGTTCTGATGATCGGTGGACCAATTGTCAGTCCATAGTCAAATGACAGTATTAATGCTGAGATTCAGGTATACTTGGTCAATGTTAGTTTGGTAGTTTATATGATTTTTACCATCAGTGTATCCTGTTTTGTCAGGTCCTAGAGCAATGGTTGCTTTTATTTTTCCACATACAGGCCCTTTTGACAGGTGTGACTAAAAGCTTCCAAAAGTATTTCCCTTACTGCTTTTTTCACACTAACACAGAAATCGTTTGCTCATGATTATCTTTTCTGTACTCTTCTAATCCACATTACAGAAAGATTTTAACATTATACTTTGTGAGACTGTCTTTCTGACCTGCTTGCAACTAGTTTTGAGAACTACTGACCTAGAAAATAATGTTTAATTTGAAAATGTGGAGCAGCACAGTTCTAAGCACAGGTAGCGCTTCCTCTAATGACGGTACCATTGTGCTGACGATACCCTCTGACATGGGCTTGCCTGCTTTCCCCTCCAGTTGCAGGCACCTTTAGCTGCACCATGAAATTTACAGTCCGGGACTGTGACCCTAACACTGGAGTTCCAGATGAGGATGGGTATGATGATGAGTATGTGGTGAGTCATCCCTGCAGAGACAGCGACACCTTTCCAACACTTAAGACATCTGCCTTGAGAGCATTCTTCTGGAACAATGGACATGAATTTATGGCTTTCTGTTCTTCTCAAACAGATTACAACTGAGGAGAAAATGGACTAACCTCCTCTATAACAGGATTGCACCATGCCAAAGAGAATAGATTTTCTATTTTTACTTCTTATTCAATTCAGAGAAGGAAACTCATCCTTATTTTCCATTGTAACAGGAATATTTAAGATGAAAATACATAATTCTTTATAAGATTATAATACATAAAATCAGTTTTATTTGAAGTGAGTAGTTCTGTTTTTGTTTCAACAACCTTAGTTTGCTTATAATACAGCCAGATTGTGAACTGGCAAATCTTTACAGAAAGGAGAGACTTATCAATCTGTTAGTTAAAAGGAATTTTAGAAAGTACTATGTAGCCTAAACTCAGTGGCTAGATGTGACAACATGACAGCTATGCACCTAGGGTTAAAGGTGCAGATATAAATTTGTCTCTTCCTAGGTGTCCTTTTTTTTTTTTTTTTTTTGCCAGAACTGGGGATTGAACTCAGGCCCTTGTGCTTGCCAGGGATGCGCTTATTCCACTGAGCCATCTTCCTGGCTTACTCTTCTTATTAAGGCCTAGAGCATTAAGTGTATCCAGACTATTTCATTTAAACTATTGTGGTAATAGAATTTTTCATACCCCTGCAGGGATTTAGGAATGGTAAATGATCAATTCCTTCTATCTTTATTCTGTATTTAAAGGACTTCTATTTATGCCTGTTTCTTGTTACCCCCTAGCTGGAAGATCTTGAAGTGACTGTGTCTGACCACATTCAGAAGATACTGAAGCCTAATTTTGCTGCTGCCTGGGAAGAGGTGGGAGATACCTTTGAGAAAGAGGAGACCTTTGCCCTAAGCTCTACCAAAACGCTTGAAGGTAAGAACAGTTGTGTTGCCAGTGTACTGTCTTAATAGAGCAGGATAAAGCCATATGTGTTATTCTAAAACTACTTTTTCATTAACTCTATCCTAAGTCATTTATTTAAAGACAAGGTACCCATCTTAATCATTTGGTTGAATCATCCATTTTCAAGGCCAGTGGCCTCTCAACACATACTCTGTACCTGTTGCCACAGCGTCCAGGACATAGGGGTAACAAAGGGAGATCTCAGTGCTGAACTTTTCTAATACTGTTGCATAAACTTTCTCAACACAGAAGCTGTCAACAACATCATCACATTTCTGGGCATGCAGCCCTGTGAGAGGTCAGATAAAGTACCTGAGAACAAGAATTCCCATTCGCTCTATCTAGCAGGTAAGAGACTTCTATCATATTTCCCTTATACTGTTTTGTTGTACACTGTAATAAGGGATACGAATGGGCGTCCCATGTCTTACTGTTGTCCTGTCACCCTGTTCCATAAGTAACAAGTTGAAGCCTGGTGAAAATGAGTAATTTACTTTTGGATGCTATTTTTTTAGGATGAATATCTGGTCTGACATAGTCTCTCACAGATATCAGTGCTACCCACCCTTGTCCCTACTGCCTTTAAGTACTCAAATCAGAATTTAATACCTTCTATATTCCCGGTCTCATGAGATTTTTTTTTTTTTTTAAAGCTAAAATATATAGTGCAGTTCCCACAAATTTCTAGAAAAGCTAAACTAAAATAATAGAAAGGAGATATAGGTAGAGCCTGATAGATTTCATTGTCAGAGCTTATTGTGAATTCTTAATACGGTTTTTCTTTTTTCTCTCAGGTGTATACAGAGGTGGCTTTGATTTATTGGTGAGGTCCAGGCTGGCCTTAGCAGATGGCGTGACCATGCAGGTGACTGTCAGAAGCAACGAGAGTACACCTGTAGATGTTATCTTGGCTTCTGTTGGATAAGTTCATACTGAGCAAGATGACACACTTCACTGTCAGTGGGCTTTTAGGCTAATGGCATGAATTCCCCAGAATCACACTCCTAAAGATTAATGACTTGGAGAAGCAAATTAAATGTTTGGCCCTGAGCCAGCAGATCAAGCAAATGTCTGTCCTTATGCATGGGTTTTGGTGTTTCTTGGTTTGGTTTGATTTTTTTTTTATTTTTCTCATTTGGTCAGCTTTTGTATGACAGTGCAGCTTTGGATGACCTTGAAAATCAAATGCTATCCTGTACTTCAGCTGCTTTACTTCATCATTTTTTCACATAATGTGTGAAAGCTCCTGACAATGTTGGAAAGTTTTATCCCAGAGGGTGGGGGAATGGGGGAGCCAGAATCCACTTTTGTCACAATTTGTTTTATTAATAGAAAATAAACACTTATTCCAGTTTAAAAGTTGTTATACTTGAAGTTACTAATTAAAAAAAAATTAATCACTTAATAATCCTGCTTTGACTAAGACAGTGAAACTGTGACTTTAAAAAAGTACTCAGCACCATTTGTTTATAGGTCTTTCACAATTTGTTCTTAATTGTCTGGGAACTTTCCTGTCCATAAAGGACAGGAATTGCTGAGCTATATGAGAAAGCCTCTCTGGGACAGCCAATGGAATCTAAGCCATCATCACAAGAGGGGTTAATAGATATTCAGCATGGGAACTTGAACTATACAGTCCCCTCCCTTCCATGTAAGCTCAGAAGGGATATGCTTCCAAAGCAATGAGGTATGAGCAGTCAGATTGTTATCTGCTGTTAGAATTGTCTTTTCAGCTAATAACAGTGGATCTCTGGCATAGAATGCAATTGGTCCTTCATGGCTGTGATTGTAGGAAATTCTATAAATAGTGTGGACTTACTTCAGTTTATTAAGAAATTATACTTTCTTAATAAGGTTCTCTACTCTGCCAGAGTAAGAGTCTGCTGGCTGAGTATGCTTTGTAAATATATACCACATGCACAGGCAGTCATAGTCTACAAGCATACTCAGAATACTCTATTATTTAAACCAATAGCTGTTTTAACAAAATATCTAAAATTAGAAAAGCAGTTGATGAAACTAAATCTGAAGTTATCACAAGGAAGATTCATTCTCACTCTCACTTACGCTGTGTTACTACTTAGAGGACTTTAAAAAAACATATGCCTATGAAGCCATTCAAAGAGAGGTTAAAGCAGGCCCTTTCTGCTCATTCTTTCATTGCAGAATTCCAGTTGGGCTTGGGCCAGCTGCTATCATTTCTATATATTTCACAACAGTTTACAGAAGTGTACACAAACCTTCTATGCAAAAGAAGATCTAATGCCTGTCTTTCTAAATCAGTGAGCAGTGCTCACCAGCATTTCCTAATACAAAGACAAAGGTAAGTCCACACACTTGATCAGATGTCAGAGGAATAGGAGGTGAGCTATTATGTCACCCTTAGAACTTTGGCTACATTTTTTCTGGGTTCTGTTGACAGATGTGAGTAAAGTGGATTTTTGTGAGAATAGTATTTGATAGCCAGGACCTCTTTTGGGCATTTCTTCCTAAGTGGAATACACAACAGATATGGGAGTAGGGAGGTAACACAAGGAAGCTACTCTTTCCATATCAGAAGGAGTTGATGAAGCCCATATATGCATTCAAGAAGCCCATGGGATCCTCTAGCTGTGGGTAGTGGCTAATGTGGTCATCCAGAATCGACACTGTGGACCGCGGCAGTGTTTTCCTAGTGGAAGAGAACAGCATGTAGGTGAACTTGAGGCTGGAGCAGGGAAGGATATTAGCCAATGAACAGCCCCAGTAAATGCCCCTGTGGACATACCACATTGGAAGGAACCACCAACACAAGGTTTATTCACCTTCTACATTGCAGTTATCTTAGGCAGATAAACTTGCCAACTTCACTTAGATTCATAATCTGACAACAACTTTCGAAAACATAACACTTGTACACGAATCATCAATGCAAAATTCAGCTCCATAGAGAGAGGCAGTTCAGCAACTCAAAGCCCAAGCAAAGATAATGGAAGAATGTCCTTAATGTTGGAGAGGAGAGGAAATTGTGTTTAAAATTCTATGTAAGGTGTTTACTACTGGGTTGTATACAATAGGCCACATGAAAGCATGGAACTTAATTATGTGGCACAGTCAAGAGTTCAAATTCTGACACTTTGCAAGTAAGTACCCGGAGAAAATAACCATAAAGAATAACAACTTTCCACAGTGAACTCTTTTCAGTCTCCTTGTAATCTGCTCTGGTAAGAACAATGAACTACTTTTGTAGTCAGACTAAAACAGGGTCTCTACTGTCATCCTAGGGTGAATGTGTTAGCTTTTTTTTTTTTTAACCTCTACACCTAGGAAAATGATATAGCTATGACAGTGAAAACAGGGTATTTAAGATAATGTTTAACTGAACTTCATCTTTGCACTTATGTGAGAAGATTTCCCAACTCATCTTTTTATTTTATGTCTCTTAGATGAGCAGCCAGTGAGGTCAGTGCCAGTATTTCTCACAAAGTAATTGTGTGTACTCTTGTCAGGATGAAATGCTATGTAACAAAACAAAGACCTCAGAGAGACTCACCTGTACAGCTCCAAAAACTCTGGATAGGGATTTACAGGATCCATTGGCCCATAGATGAAATGAACTGAGAAAGAGAAGAGAAGTGACTTACTAAGCTGTCCTACCTCCACCCTAAATTAGCTTGTCTGGGATGGGTGAGTGCTTTCTGTACTTTTTTTTTTTTTTTAATGATAGAAAACCTAGCTTCTATTATTAGTTAAGCTATAAGGATCTGTTGAAAGTTCCCCAGTTGGCTCATTTGGGCCATTTTCTCCTATATAGAACCATTTGGCCCCTCTTTTAGCTCATCTGTGCCTTGGACCAAAAGGAATAAGCCCCAGTTTCAACATTCTTTTTCTATAAACCCAAGATACTATACTATCATTCCTTAAGTGTCTTCAGTTACAGTTAGAACCAACTTTATTTATTTTTATTTTTGTTTATATTTCTTTTTTGAGACAGGATCTTATTGTGTAGTCCAGGCTGGCTTTGAGCTTACTATGTAACCCCCACTGGCTTTGAAATCTCAAAGGCTGATCCTCCTGTGTCAACCTCCCAAGTGCTACAGGTGTGTACCACACCACCGCACCTGGCCAACCAATAATTTCTTGAGCACTAACTACTATGTGGGAGTCACTGCACTGATTCCTTTTTTTTTTTTTTCTTTTTAAATCTGTACAAATGTGATGAATGAGCACAGCCTACTTAAAAGCTCCTGATTAGTAATCTCAGCAGTCTCCAGTCCAGCAATTTATAATTTAATGTGGTATTCACTGATTATATGAAAGAAAGCAGCATATGAACTACATTTACAATAAAACCTTCAGTGTTTTATAAACTTCATCTTACATATACATCACTGGTCTTTCCAGATGTTGGGAGTAGGGTTGGCAGTGAAATAAAGGATGTCTGAAGAAATCTGACTTTCAGATCCCCCAAAAAAATCTAGTAGTTTTTGTTAGCACACAACACACATATACACACCCGCACACATTTTTTTCTTTTAATACCAGGGATCAAACTTGGTACCTTGCATTTGCCAGGCCTGTGCTTAAGCCATTGAGCTATATTCCTGGCCCATCAAACTTTAAAAAGTAGTTGTTTAGCTAAATTTCAGATTTAAATGCATGTCTTATATTCTTATTTGCTAAACCCAGTAACCCTAATTGGAGTTGATAGGAATTCTAGTTATTTTAACTTCATACTCTTTAAGGTTTCCTAACAAGAGGCAATATAAAGATACTCACTGGGAACAGTGACAGAGGCAAGTGCTCCCACCCAGCGTCTTCTAAACTTCTTCCTCTGATTGATGTACTGCAAGAGGCTATAGGATCAGTAAGTCAGCAAGAGCAGAACCAGAAATCTTTATTGCTGCAGGGCTCAAAAGCCTGACACAAGCTGCAAGAGACACATCTTAATCCAGAAGCAACTTGGAATTTTTGGAACAGCCCACTTTATCCATTTGTGTTAAGCACCAAGTGACTATGGCAGTTCTACCTACTATCCCCGTGAGCCTTAATGGGCTCTGTGCATCCAATAAGCAAGAAATGAATCTTTTCATAAGAGGATTTTAAGAGTGCTGTTTTTCAGTTTTCTATAGTAAAATGAATCTTGGAGGACTTCATGGGGGGTGGAGTGGCTCCCTTAAATGCACAATTCCCAGCAAAGCCATCAGTGAAAACTGGAGGGTACACTGACCCATCTGGTAAAAGGACAGAGCCTTAAGTCAAGGACTTCCAGATAACACCATCTCTAGGCCCTTCAGTGAGAACAGCTACATTCTCATGTTGTCATTTGAGTCAAGGCACAGCAATTCTTTATATGAGAAATTCTGTCTCATTCCCTATTGCTACGAAAAAGATACGCAAACGAAGAGCCTCGTACTTAAGGGCCACATTTAGAGTCCTTTCACAATTGAAATTGAACATTTTAGGGTGGCCGGGGAGATAGCCCAGTGGGATAAGCACTTAAGGGCCTGAGTTCAATATCCGGTTCTGCCAAAAAAAAAAAAGAAAAAGAGAGAGATTGAACATTTTAAAGCACTTAGTACTAACAGAGTCCAAAGAAGGATTTGCCAAAGTCAGTTACAGACAGAATTTGCAGCAATTTATTACTTAGATAAGGGGACTCTGCCTATGACATCTTTGTTCTTGGAAAACGCAGACCCTTGACAAATTTAGGATTTGCTTCACAGTCCTAAACTAACCTTCTTGTGGTAGGAAACAAGCTACTAGGTGCAGAATAAGCAATCCTGTTTCTTCATCCAAATTCCTAAAGAGCCTTTCTGAAACCCAAAGCAAAGGCTTACTTCTTACCTGTCTATGACCAAGTTCCCATCATTGTTGCGGATCCCTGCCCACATGTCCCACAGCTCACTCTCAGAGGGCCGAGTATATGGTCCAAAGACTGGGGTGAGACTGAAAAAGTCCAAAATACAAAAAGGTAAATATGGGGAGAATTCAGAATCTAAGACTTTAGCAGTCACAAGGTCTGACCCTTAGCTGATTTATGAATTCCTTCTACAACTTCCTTGGCAAAAGGGCAGAAGCTTTGCTTGAAAACCTCAGGATTTGGCCCAGAGTTAACAATTATTCATAGGCCATAGTTAGTCTTTTGTAGTGACTTACCCTCGAGAGAATACAAAGAAGTTCATCAGCCTGGTGAGGATGGGTGACAGCACGCCTCCATCTTTGAGTAGCTGTAGGTAATAAGTGGAAAAAAAAAAAAAAAAATCAAGGATCCAGAGAAAGATGACAGTTCACCAAGTCAAAAGGATTCATACGAGCAGCTAATAAGGGTAGTGAACTAAATCTACTGAAACTTTTGGTACATAGGATGATTTTTTTGTTTTCTTTCTGTATTGCTGATCCACATTCTTCTCTCATGGAAGATAAATCTGTTTCTAATTCTTAATTTTTTGTAGTATATATGCTGCTGAAGTGAGCACTTATTTCCAAGACTTTTGGGCTCAAGCAGTCTTCCTGCCTTAGTCTTCCAAATACCCAAAACTATGAGTACCAGCCTCCTGGGTTGGCCATATTAGACCAGGTTCCCAATTTATTGACTTAATGCTTCTGATACAAGTCTTTACATAATAGTGTTTCTTCAAATAACTTGTTCATCTTTCAACCTCAGATGAAAGAAGTAGTTTTCAATTTTTATTTTTTCTGTATTTTAGGGAAGGGTCTACAGGGTATTCAAGGTCTTGCTTCTAGATCAAACTCATAGTGATTGTCCTGTTTATTGCCTTCCAAGTACTGGGCGTGCGCCACCACTCCCAGTCTCAATCGCAGTCTCAGCTTGCCCTAGGGGTGGGGCCAGCAGGGCAGGCCTGGGAATGAACCCCCAGCCCCTGGGCCTGCTTGCAGGCACTTTAATCAGTTTTCAATTTATGTAGGATCTGCTTCCACTGCTTTTATTTGCCTAATCAGGGATAAATTAACTCCATTAATGTGAATTCACAAGGAAGGAGATTTTAATTATGGTCCATCACAGCAGATATGGCCATTAAAAGGTCCCAAGTCTATTTATGTCAGCACAAATCTTAAAACTTGGGCTGTATTCAGTAGTGACCAACCTTTTGGAGCAGGAGAGGACGGTGAGTCTCAGGAAAGATTCCTTTAGAAGAAGAAATTGCTTTTAGTCATGTACCAAAACTTAGGTCAAGGGGGAACTATCCGCTCGGGCCCCCCTCCTGTCCCTCTCTTGGACAGGAGCTTTCTTTCTCTCAATAAATATATTCTGCTCATAAAGAAAAAAAAAACTTAGGTCAAATGCAAACCCATTACTGGAGACTAATGACTTTATTCAATGTCACCTTTGAGATATTTACTGCCAAAACAGGTTTACAAATAAAAATTTAGTACAGTCATGTACTCCTTGACAGTATTTCATCAATAATGGACAGTACACATGTGTATCCCGATTAAACAAAACGCCACTGTAGTGTCATATAACTGCTTCACCAAGCAACTTCAAATTCCGCTGGGAAAATTAGGGCCCACTAGAATTACTTCCCCATTTTAAAGGTAGAAAAATGGGAAAAATCATTTATATTTTCATATACAATGCTGATTATGAGGCTCTGACTCACTTTTCAATTCAGAACACAGTGTTAATCTGGTCTCCAAACACAGGAATTGTTCAGTAATTATAAATCTTTAAAAAAAAAAAAAACCTAGTTTTTCCTTTTCCATTCCAGAGTCAGTGGAAGAAACACAGGAGCACTATGACTCCTCTCCCAAGCTGCCCATAAGGCACTCAGTGGACACTTATGTGGTCAGGGGCACACAAAATAAAACAAGCTCCTGTAAAAAGTCTAATCCAGGATCATTAATTTCTGAGACTTGGTCCTAACATCTAACAGTTTAAGAATCGAATACTAATACTACACACATAGCAGAAGCACCTGTGCCCTTCTGTCCTAAAGCCTATTTCATAACCCACTGCAATTCTTACAGTAAAACAGCCTTTGTACCCCTAATCAGCTTTAGTATACCCACTATTAAGTCTAATTGCAAAAAAAAACACAAAAAAAATATGGCTGTCATGCAGCTTCTAATTGATTGCATTCAATATAATCACTTTCCTTTGTGCTCTCGTTGGTCTTATTTTCTATATCTAAAATCAGTATTTGGGGGGGCCTGCCCCTTAGCTCAGTTCTTTAAGTGGCTGCTTCAACAAAGCAGTCAGGCTCAGGTTGCTGTGGTTCGATCCCCACAGCTCAAGCCAGCCAAACCTGCCCTGAAGGCATTCGGAGCAAAAAAAAAAGAAAACCTTCTGCTTTTAACAAAAAAAAACAAACAAACAATAAACCTCTCCCCCTAAAAAAATAAAATAAAATCGTATTCTGAAAAAAGATCTGTAAATGTCATTTGGCCATCAAAGCAGTTCACAGCACAAAGGAAAGGCAAAAGAGCTAGTTTTATTTTGTCTGCTTACGGTATCATCAGGTTATCATTTATTGTCCCATAACATCTGAGGCAGCCCTTCTAGACTATACCCCAATTCCACCTACCACCAAGACCATTACCTCCATTTGACAGACAGAGACTCTTTATGGTAAGCCGACCAGAGCGATTTTGCTTGTACCTGGAGAAGAGGATGGAGAAACGCATGTAGTTGAGCAGATAGCAGTGAAGACAGTCTCCCCAGGGAAAGGACCAGAATGGGATGTTTTCCCAGCATCCTAAGCTAGGGCAACAGAAGTCTGGCTTCACTTACCTATAAAGCAGCTCCTGAGCAACAATATCTCCATAGTCATGAGACAACAGGTTGATTCTACGGTTCTGGAGCCCCAGATGCCGCAAAAGAGCCTCCACAATACTGGCTTGCTCAAATATGGAATAGTGATGTGGTCTCTAAGGAAAAAAAAGGCCAGATACACAGGATAAAGTCACAACTGCAGATCTCTGCTGACCTAACCACTCCACGCACATATATCCCACCCCCAGCACCAGCCCAGTAGAGTTGTTGCTTACTGGTTTGTCACTGAAGCCAAAGCCTAGGAAGTCAAGGGCAATCACTCGATGAAACCTCAGGGTCAGACCTTCCCAAATCTGTCAGGGAAAAAAGTTGATTTCGACTTTGTGCTCCTGTGCTGCCCCTCCACTCACCCCCAGCAGCAAAAGCTTCATCCCAATCTCAAAGGGGCAGATGTGGATAAGCAAACTACACAATAAAGCGAAAGCCTCATGAAGCCATGACAGTCCGCACAGGTAATTCTCTTGGCAAGTGCTTGATTCCTAGTAATAAATCTCTATCAAGGACAAGACACCAGCATTTTTAACTTGGCAGCGGTCCTTCGGGGCTGCCAAAGAGTTGCTCTACTCTGGGAGCATAAATGAGAAACGGTTCAACGTTGATGCTGTTATTAAACAATTCAAATGTGCTCTATTAATGCTGACAAGAAAATCCTAGATTGTGTATTTTTTAAAGATATAGTGGGATCTAGAAATTGATCACATTACCTTGTACCAATCATAGCTGGAAGTTGGAAAGCCATGTAAAAGCACAACTATCTCGGGGCTTCCGACCACACCCACAGAATCTGGGAAAAAGGAAAGAGATTAGTTAGGCCATTTCCCTGTAAAAATAATCTTAAACGCTAAAAATCTAATCTAGTACAAACAAGAATAAAAGTAATGACATTAACCATGATTATTGCTTTTTAAAATACAAGTTTATTGTTTTAGGCACTTTCTCTTTTGAATCTATATATTAAAATATATATAAAAAACAGGCAATTTTTTGGAATCTATATATTAAGAATGTAGAGGGCCAGCCAAACAGTTCAGCAGATTAAAGAGCCTGCAAGTAGGCACAGGGGCCGGGGTTCTATCCCCGATGTGTCGTGCTGCCCCCACCTATGGGAGGGGTTGCTTAGATGGCGAGATTGAGACTGTGCGTGGTGGCAGGTGCCTGTAATCCCAGCTCTTTGAGAGGCTGAACACAGGTGGATCACTATGAATCTGATCCGATCTATGTAGTGAGACCCTGTAGACCCTTACTAAAATACAAAAAAATGTAAATAACATATACCCTTTATATTATAGAATTTGAAAGCCACTTCCTCCCCTTCACCTAGATTTTTATACTAAAAAGCAAACTTTGAAAGTTAAAAACAATCACAATATAAGGTAAAAACGATTTATACCTTATCACTAATTTATCACAAAATTTCTCTACAGTATCACAGATTTTCCCAGTGAGCACCTTAGTTTATGCTGTTTATCTAGTACTTACTTCAGCAGAAGAGAACCAATCCAACATCAAAAGCATAATGCTCAGACAACTGCAAAATTCTCTGAACTACAAAGTGTCAATCAATATAAACATTTTTAAGTGTATATTACAACCTGGAAATATTAAATAGCTTTAAAGATAGCCAAAGGATAAAAATAGCTTGTTAATAGTATTGGATTAAAACTAGTCATTCATATACTGCCAATAGCATAAAAATTTGGTTAGACAATTTTCAAAAATAGTTTAATTGGGACCCATTAAAAATTTTATATGCTTTAGATTAGGCACTTTATTTTTAAGAACCCATACAATGTCAAATATTGATAATCTGGAAACAAACCAAACAACCATCATAAAGAAAATTACATACTTACATTTATTGGACATAGCAAATGAGAGGAGGTCAGGAGCAATAATGAAAAACGGTTTATGACAAACATTTTTCGTTATTGCTCTTGACCCCCGCCCAAAAGAAATCTTTTCCAATCTGTTTGTCAGTTTCTTCACCTATGAAATGAAATGTAATGGTACCTATTTCCAAATATTGTTGTGAAGATTAAATGATACAATGAAGGCTGAAAATGTAACTCAATGCCTGGCATATGATAATTATCTGATAGTCAATAATTATCATTAACAGATTAATTTGTACAACACTGAAAGATTTAAATCACATTTGGTAACATATAACAATTCAATAAAATGCAATCAGGGATGGGAGGGAGAGAAACAATGGTTCCATCTCTGAATATCATACATGCTACCTGACACTAGGGGTGCTCAAAAGAGAAAACCACTATCTGAGTACATATTAGGCTGGAAAAAAATATTTTTACTAGGAAGTCAAGTGCACAAGATTGTAATCTCGGTTTTACCCCCTACCTTCCCAGTAGCTTTCTGAATCTCCCTGCTCACAAGCAAATAAGGGGAGATACTCCATTCCTTCCATCACAGTTCATAAAAAGGAGCTACTGTCCCCTATCACTGGGTGCAAAACAAGTATGTCAGCAAGGACCTGAGTGACCCATGCCTTCAGGATCTTCCAGTGCTCAGTTCTTACCTTGGTAGAAGATGCGCAGTCCCTTGTAGGTGAAAAACTTGCCAGAAGTCTTCCATGAATGCAGAGCAGGGGAGAGCTGAGGGGGTGGGATGTGCAAGTAGGCGGCAAGCAGGGGCATAGCCAGGAGCCCCACCTGGACCCACCACTCCCTCATCCTGTGGAGAAAAGGTGAGGGGTATTGGACACATCTGCCAACCAGAATTGGTAGCATGGAGTGGGAAACCATGTAGTGACTACGTGGTCCCCCATAAGGACCATACCAAAAAGCTTAACAATAATAATGTGACTGCTTCTGTCTGCTATGATAATCACACATTGGCTGCCAATCTAGTTTTAAGGGGAAAGATATTTCAATATGCAATTATTTCTACTCCCCTCCCCCAGCTTCTCCCTGTGAGCTTTCTGATACCCACTAAGGTTTCAATGGCTTTTACCAAGTTTTTCCAGGGAAAAAATAATTTCCTTCATATTTACTCTCAAAATTCTACCACCTACTCAGCAGCCACCGCCAATAAAATATTTAAAGTGCATGCAAGGTACTAGTGTCTTAAGCCTGTGTGTATTTAAAATATCACATATCCTTAAGCAAAGAGGTTCCTAATTTTTAATATTTATCAACCTTCTGGCCTAAGTGAAGCCCTATTTAGCACTACTATGTAGAAATAAGGTGAGAAACTGCACAGGGCTATTCAAGCAAGAAGATAGCTCTTACAGAGTATATTCCAATGTAAGCAGCTTTGTCCTGACCCCAAATATCTAATCTCTTTGAGAAGTCTGGAAAGCTGATTACATTTCTGCTTTTCTTAGCAGAAAGCTGAGGAAATTCCCATTTAATTTCATGGGATCTGCTTCCTGAACCTACACACACACATACACACACACACACACACACACACACAAATTAGGTTCATACCTGACGTGTTGGAATTGGTTTTATCTCTAGAGACAAGCACTGGTTTGCACACCTACCCTTGCCATTCCCAGAACTTCAAAGGTCCATTAAAATCAGTTCATCCACACTGACTACAAGTGTCAAAAATGAATTAGAAATAGTTTCCTTTGGCTAATCTGTGACTTCTAATGCTCACCAGGAAAAAAACAGAAGTTTTCTCCAAACATCCAATATAAAACAGTACTCCCCAAAACTAGAATTAGAGATGTCAAGAATATAACTACAAATAAAGTAAATCAATTACCAAAGTCCTAGTGGACACATCCTACAATCCTATTACCTGATATCTGGCCATAACCCCCAATACAAACTAATCCAACTCATAAAATGCTTTAAAAAAAAATAAAAATAAAAATAAACTGACAGTCGCACAGTGGTAATATAACCATGCCCCTTGAAGAATCTCAGCCTCCCTATTCATGCCTTAAGGATTATAAGGCAATGTATTCCATTTCCCAAAGTATCTGTCTGTAGACACAAAAATCTAGTTCTACTTTTAAGATAATACAAGACATGATTTCAAAAATGCAGGAACTTGATGTTTATTACAGTTTGCTTCCTGAAATAGGAAAAGGCCAAAGCCCAATAGATCCTTGAAAGGTAAATGACGAAAAGCATTAGGTTTTAGTTACTATCTTAGCACTATCTGTCCTGTCTCCGTTCATACATTTTCACGTTGCCTCTAGTAGCACTCCTTCAGGTCTTAGCAGCGGAACGTGCAATGAATGACTCAGCAGAGCCAGCGATGGTCTCCAACGGCGGCAAATTAGGGGGCCTCCAGTGATACTGCTAGCGGGAGTGTAAAAAACAAAGGACCGGACACCCGCACTCCGCTCCTGCACAGCCACCACATCCCCCCTCTTTCACTCCCAAAAAGCAAAGACGCAACCCTTCAAGGAGCCATTCTCTTGTCTTAATTACATGTTCCAACATGTAAAAATGCTCCAACAACATTTCAGGGTTTTATCAATCAGGTAGTCAGTAGGCAAAACAAACATTTTTGGGTTGAATCCCCATTATTTGATAGAGCCATAATTCAAGAATATGAATCCAGCAAACTTCAGTAACAAATTGGAAATTAACCTTTCTGAGTCTTGATTTCTTCACTTGTAAATGAGGGACTGGGAAATATTCATCCAAGACCATCAAATCTGCCCACCTGACGGCATCGCTGTGAAACGACGCATACTTTGGAAATCTAACCCAAAGCAAAGACCTCCTAGCACTGTGATGACAATTCGGTCACATCCCTCTTCCCCCTGCGCTTCCGCGCTTCCACTTAGTAACATCCAAAGAATACTGACTGAGCGCCCAGAGCTCGGCAAGGTCCAGGTACGCCTCTGCGGTCCTGTATCGCTGCGCGGTCAGGGTCTGGAAAGCTTATACCGTGCCGCGGCAATACCCGCATCTTGAGATTCTAAATCTGGCCGCGGCAATTCCTTGAATTCCTAGGGCACTGTCAGTTCTAGAAATCCTAGGTCATGCCACAGCGATAATCATGTTAAATGCTAAATCCCACCTGGGCGTTTCCGGCTAGAAATTCTAAATCACAACACGGTGATAACGACCAAGGAATTAAATCACCCCACGGCAATAGCGGGGTTTTAAAATCTTAAATTACATTGGGGTCTAGAAATCCGAAATCGCGACGCGGCAATAACCCGGTCTTTACAAATTCTATATCTCACCAGAGCCATTTAGCGACTAAAAATCCTAAATCACACCACGGCAATAACTGGGGTCTAAAAGCCCCAGTTTGTACAAAGGTAGAACAGTATTACTACAGTCTAGAGATCCGAAAACACGCAAGGGAGAGGCAGTGATCTAAAAATCCTAAATCTCACCTGGGAGATTCAGGGTTTAAAAATCCTAAACCAGGGACACTGGGGTCCACCCCCCTTACCAAGGACAGGAGCGACTCCGCTTCCAAGCCAGCCCCGCTGCCACCGACCGGGTGGGGTTTTCGCCACCGGGTGAAGCCGTAAGGCTCGGTCCTGGCCAGCCACACCCCCTCGCACCCCGTTGGAGGCCGCACCCACCTGCGGAGACGATCTCGGCGCACCATGGCTGCATTATCCCATGCTGCCCTCCGCAGGATTGCGGCGCTCAGGGTGCACCACGGCACCCTCAGCAGTGCAGGCTCAGGGGTGGCCTGGGCACAGCGTGCGGGTCCGCGCAGAGCAACCGCGGCAGTGAGCGGTTCCTGGGGCTCGGATGCGGCACTCTGCTAGATGGCGACGCGAGGCTGCTGCAGAGGAAGCAATGAGGCCAACGCTGCCGGCTGCCCGTTGCCCGCTGCCCGCGGGAACGCGCTGGAATGCGCCGGTGGCCTCGGCAGCACCGGGCTAGCGGGCGCCGACTTTTAGAGCCCACCCAGCCCCGCCCCTGACCCGCCCACCGCCGCAGCAGCGCCCCTCCCGCTCGCTCGCTGCAGAGCGCCCCTCCCTACAGCCCTACCACCAGAGAAATGAGGCACCCCACTCACCGGCACTTTCGGGGGGTGGGGGGACAACTCCCCACCACAACCCTGCAGATCCTTCAGAGACCCCGGCCCCAACCCTGAGCTCAAGGTTCTGGTGCAAAATCCTTCCTCAGAGGCACGCCTCGGGTAAAGATGGCAGAGCCCGCAGACCCCGACACTCCCTTAGACCACCCACAGGTTCCTGGGCCCTAGGGCAAAACCAGGCAGCATACCTGAGTAGAAACTCCTGTTTTGTGCCTGAAGCGCGGATGCTGAAATCTATACATACCCACGACCGAAAGAGCCGACTAAGCCCCTAACTATGGTATCGACCAAGGGGCAAACATGTAGCTAGGGAAGGACAGGCTCTGCAGCACCCTCCCCTGGGCTAGCGGACACATTCACAGGATGACTGCTTCAGAGCAAGGCAAACCAAAGTTGCAGAAAGTCTGGTTTCAATCACTGTGCCCACCACAAGGCGCCAGGCACGTTCTTTCTGCAGCAGCGCAACGTGGCCGGCATGCTGCAGGCCACCGCAGCACCCGTCCTGCAAGGCACGGTACCCACGGCACCATCAGGAGTGCAAGCCCCTCTTTATTTGTGTATGATGCGACCAACACAAGGGTCCTAAAGGTGTAGGAAAGAAGTCATTTTTTAAAAATCTATAATCCTTTTAAAGGACTTCTAATACGCCTTCAAAAGTATAGGACATCACTGTGTGCATTTTCAGGCTGTTCATTGAAATTTTAATAACCGCGTGCGAGGCCTGGGCCCTGTCGTGACTGTTCCAGCAGGGGCGCTGCAGGCTTCTTTTCCACCCCTCGGCAGTTCTGTGGCTCCACAGTCCATAAGTACAGTCTGGCACAATTCTACAGAAGGCCAACTGCCTGGTTAACTGTGCCCCGGGGCATCTATGTACCGACCAGGAGCTTAGGGCCACCCACTGCAGAAGCCATCACCTAAGAGCGTGTCATCAGAGCATGTGACGGAGTACTGGGGATACTTTTCCCAAGGTCCAATGGAGGAGGTCAAGAAACAAATGCTTGCCTAGCACCATCCAGTATGCTAAGAGCCCAGGGTGAGGATGTACAAAATGAATGAGAAAAGACCCACACCAGAGAAAGATGGCATCTGGATGTATAGCGACACTTAAATTTTTAAAAAATTATTTTTATTTCTCAGTAACATTTTGTGACAAATCCTCCTCCTCCCAACACATAAGGCCCTCAACAGCCGAGTCTAAGTATTATTCACCTTTTGTATCCTCAAAGCCTGCCACAGTGCCGGTCACAATACAGGCCCCTAACAAATACTGAATGAATAAGTACAAGAATTTGAGGGCTATAGGGGAGGAAGTAATTAAGGGGAGGGGGAAGGGATATATTGAATAATGAATAGACATTTACCAGAGAGACAAAGAACATTCCAGCCAGAGGGGTCGGCATTTGCAAAGCACTGGAGGCTCTAGACCGCAAAACCTTGAGGGAAATCGCCTCTTTTTGGACACCAACAGGCAAAACAATTAGCCTAGAAAGAGGAGTTTATCGTAAGGAATCTGGAATTTGTCTTAAAGAAATGCAGATGGATTTAACACTGAAACTTTAATTGATCACTTAAAATATAATTACTCCCTTTATAAATCGAGGATCACCACCTGTATTAACTGGCTACTGCTACCTTTTAAAGACTGAATTACTTAAGAAATTTAAATTGGTCCTTTCAACACTGTTAAGGCATTCCTATTTTTTAAACTGTTGACAAAAGCCTTGGTATTATATATTTTTGATACTTATTGTCAATGGAACCTTTGAGTCCCACAAAAATTTCACACTCATTTTCACCAGGTCAGAGGGCCCAGCATACAAGATGAAGATAATTTTCTAATTAATGGACTTAATGCCCCCAAAATGATCATATTTTGAAGACCACAAACAAATGTACTTATATGGAACAAGTAGATAAGACTTCAGGGAGAAACTATTTAAACACCTGAGGAAAAGGGAGAGGGTGGGGGAAAGCTCTTCAAAACAATACCAATTTCAAGTCTGGCTCTTAGGAGAGGTCCTCAGCATTAAGTAGGGAAAACTTCCTTGCAGAAAGAGGGATGGAGGTTGAAATAGGCATTAGGAACGCAGAATTTGTTTAAGTAAAGGAAGCCTTCCAGTTTACAATCAGCTCTGGTACAAAGGCAAGGAATGGGAAAAACAGATCATGTGACAGATCAGCCCAGTTAATGCTTTCAGAAGTCCTGCCTGGAAGAAACCATAATGCCCCAGGAGCCAAAGATAAGTTTTTTTTTTCTTTTTTTTTTTTGCGGAAGCGGGGATTGAACTCAAGCTCCCGCACTTGCCAGGGAAGCGATTATTCCACTGAGCCATCTCCTTGGCCTGAGATAAGTAATCGTCTAACTGTGCCTGGCTTCCTGAGGAAAGGATCTCCTCCTGAGAGTATCTGATAAAACATATAGCCATACATAAATGCAAAGTTCCCCATTGGCTTAGGGAACTCTTTCAGTTCCTCCGAATATTGTCCTTGGCTGACATCACATGCAGCAAAATTTCCTCAGACTGCAGCTTATCAGACATCGCAATTCTAACACAGATGTATATAACAAAAAGAGCTCAGATCTGTGCAAAACTTAGCACAGAAATCTCAGCATTTACCATCTCACTGATTCACAACAGCAGGAGATCAGCTGGGCTGGCACCCTAGACTCAATAATTGAATTTTTTTAATCCTGAGACCCAGAATATGACAAATGCAAGAATAATTGTGAAGACAACATAGTAGAACACTGGGACTGCCATTTTTAGGAGCTGTAATTATAGGTTCAAAAAAAAAATGTTAAAAGCTCAGGACTGGAGAAAGTTGGTAACACTCTAAGAACTCAGGTTTTCCATTGACAAAAAATTTACTGAGTCAGTGTGAGACAGTTCTAAAAAAATTTACTGTGACTGCAGACTATAGAGAAATACCCAGAAAAAGCTAATCCTTCACTATTCTGCTAGTTAGACCTCACAGAGTATTTTATTCTACTCTAGCTGGGGAGATGGTTCAGTGGAATAAGCGCTTCCCTGGCAAGCGCAAGGGCCTGAGTTCAATCCCCGGTTCTGCAAAAAATAAAAAGAAAATAAATTTTATTCTACTCTATAGAGAAAGTACTAAGAGATACATAAACAGCAGCATGTGCAGAGGTCAACTAAAAATGAGTGGAAATCATGCCACTGAAGCTCTCATACTTTAAGCTCCAACTATGAACATAGTTCGTCACCCAGTTTGTCTGTAATCCTCAAGTAAGTTTGGCTAGATGACTATTTCTTTTCACATATCTCAGAGAAAAAGACACAGTAGCTCAGAGTACTAAATGTTACTGTGTGAAGGGAGTGGGAATGGAAGGCAGATGAATCTGGCTCCAAAGCCGGCCTTCTTTCCACTGCCCCACACTGCTTCCCTGTTTGAAATAACAGGCATGTTTAGTTGGAAGAAAAGGAGCCTTGTAGAGTGAGTAGAAGAAGGAAATGTATTAGCAGTCCTCAAATATTTGTGGAAGCAGTATTCAACATTCTGTACAGCTCCAACGATGGCAAACTGTAGAGAAACAGATGTAGATTCAACATAAAGAATTTTCCAAGAGGGATGTCTAGAGGAATTGGGTTGCTGTGCCATTCTGGTACATAACAAGTTCTCTGTCGTTAGGTGCTGGGTAACCCTGTGGCAGGTATGCTAGCTCTGCATACATGGTGGAATGAATGACTTCTAAGGTATTTTCTCACCTGACAGAAATAGGCTCAGAAAGGTACTGGAATTTGGTTGCAGGGCCTGGACACCCCCCTCCGCAACAAATCTACTACTCAACTCTTCCCTAGGTGTGTCTCCCAGCCCAGAACGGTTTGTAAAGCAGGCTGCTTCGCACTGAAAGACAAACTCAATAAATTAAATCAATAAAATCACATCAATCTCTTTCTTGACCAAATTTAACCAACATATATATTGTTTCTAATGTTTTCCTTTCCTGTTAGGGTTCACTTTGGGGATAAAAAAAAAAAAAAAAAAGCAACTTTGCAGCAAAAAGTCCCAAAGATAAATGGTAGAGAAGGGAAGCAACAGAGCTGAATCTCTTAATCACATAAAACAAACTCAAAGTACAGGTACTGTAGTCGTTGGAGTATCACTGGGCACTTGTGGCTGTCTTTACGCAGCTTCTCCGCACTACTGCACACAGCCCTCAATCCAACGCGGGTCGACCGTCCACCTAATTCCTCACCTTGGGCCATCTCCTTGCTCAACAGGTTAAAGGATTCTAATTGCTTAACACTACTTTCTTTCCAGCGTACTCGGAATTTCTTCCTAGCTGCCTGGGAAAGAAAGGCCACAACACCCAACTCTTTTTCTGCCCCACTCTTTAAAGAACTACTTCCCTCATTACCAAGTCCTTGGCCCTGAGGCAGCGCAGCGCAGGTGTCCTCGGTTTTGCTTAGAGGCTCTCTCGTCACCTCACACCACCCCCAGCTGCTTTGCTCCCACAGCAGCCCTGGTGCAGAGAGCATGGGCGGGCGCGCAGGCGCACACACACACGCACACACACACACACACACACGCACAGCCCTTGTGCAGAGAGCATGGTCACTCACATTCGCACAGCCCTGATGCAGAGGGCGGGAGGCAAACAGCGGCCACGCCAGCTCACTTGCCGGTGGAGAGGAGTCGCCCTGCTGGCCTCGGCCCCAACGCCCCTCCACAGCCATCCTCACTCAACGTGCGTGCGCTGCACACACTAGCCTCATACCTCACTGGGGCCACGCCCCCTGGGGGGGTGCGAGGGAAGGGTGGAAGTTCCACTCCTTCCCCTCCTGTTT